AGGCCTGGATTGGTAGCTGAGCCAGCCGAGAGCTCCTTCAGGGAGGGCTCCGAAAACAGCCAGAAGGAAGCCAACAGGATGTTTAAAGAAAGTTACTCTTGTCACTCCAGAAAAACAACCATGTCTTGAAGTCGTCACAGAAGCTACTGAGACCAGGTCCAGTGCCTTTGGTCAGGGTCGGCTCTGCTCGCATTCAGCTCCCCACTCAATGTAGGGTTTGCTGAGGTGAATGCCAGGTCTAATTTTAGGAGATGGAAGGGCCATAGGAGCCAGCAACAGTTGTCAGCACGTGGACAGGGAAGGAGGGTGGGTGTTTGTGTTGTTCAACGCACTGGGAAGGGGTGGGGGCTGCAATGGCGAGGAGAATTTGGGCTTTGAAGCTCAGGATGTCTCCAGCAGTCTTAAAACACATCAGACATGGACTAGCCCATTTCAGTCCTTGAGTGAATGTGGTTTGGAGGGGGCTTGTGTCTTAAGTCAGAAGGATGACTGAAACTGCACCATCCTTTCAGACTTCTGTCCAGCAGGAGCAGGCTGCTGGATAGGGGGCTGCGAGCACCTTCCAGAGTCCCCTCAACTCTCTTGTTCTGGTAGGACGCCTGTGGAGTCCTGGCCAGACCCAGAAGCCAGCTGCATGGGGTGCGTGAGAAGCCTCATCCTAGAACCCTCCCACTTCCGTTTGCAGCTTAGCCACTGCCTTCGGGTGAAGAGCTGCTCACTATCTGTCATGGTTGTTAGCAGGGGAGGACCTCTCAAGGATCCCTATCTGGCTGTAGGAGCTGTGACTGGGATCATATGGCAAGAAGAGCTGACCCGAGTCACACCACCAGCAGTCAGTCATGCATGATCTTCGCCTGCTGAGGGGTGCCTCCGATGGGCATTGTGCTCTGGGAGGCACAAGGAATGCAAATACCAGAAGAAAACACTTCTGCCCTCCAGGATCTCCTCTGTCCTAGCATCCACTTTAGAAGATTGTGGCTGAGGGTTGGGGGGCAGGGTCTATGATTCTCTGTTTTGCAGATGGGGGAACTGAGGCACAGAGCACTGAAGAAGTTATCCCAGTATCCCAGGACAGATTGTAAGAGAGCTTTAGAACCTTTTGCCCAAAGGGTCATCACAGTTTAATACTAGCAATACAAGCAATACTTTATCTATGTTGCCAGAAATACCTAGGCCTAACCATGGGGAGAGTAAATGATTACCAGCCCCGTAATGGCCCTTTGTCCTTGTTCAGCCTGAAACCCAGCCAGAGGAAAACAGTATGAAGTACAAGTCAATAAATGTTGCAAGCAATAAGGGAGGCAATGAGGTATGGTAAGATGAGGGCCTGGGTTAAAATCCTACCTCTGACACATACCTGTATGATGTTGGGCAAGTCATTTCATCTCTCTGAGCCTCAGTCTCCTCATTGTGAAATGAGGGATTGGATCAGAGGACCTCTGAGGTCTCCTTCTAGGGTCCTATGATATAGTAGAAAGAGCGCTAAGTTTGGCGTCAGAGGACCCAGGTTCGCATTCCTGTTCTAGGATGCTTATGACCTGGAATAAATCACTGAGGCCTTAATTTCCTCGTCTGTAAAATGAAGGTGTTAGACTGGAACCAGATCACTGAGCTGTAAATCTATGATCCTATGATCTCTGGAGAGATACTGTACATGGATCTCTCGTCTCACCACTTCCTTTTCCATTCCTTAAAAAGGAAGAATGCACGCTTGGTTTCTCCATCTCTGTAAGTTTAATGAGCAGGGAGATGGTGGCAGTAGGCCTTACTCCATTGCTTCATTTTGGCTGGAGGCGCCCTTTAGAACACATGTTAGTAGAACTCAAGCCAAGAAGGATTCGAGGATGGGCCCAGACTCATACTGTGTGTCTGTCAGCTTAGGAGAGACATGGTACTAGGAAGTTATTCTTGCCAAGTGATGAACTCCTCAACTCTGAAACAGAGAACCTTGTGTTCTGCATCCAGGAATAGCCATACCTAGGAATTCACAAAGATTTATGTGACTGGTCCAGGGACACCCTGCCATTCAGAGGCGCCAAGAACCAGATCCCCATTACTTTGGCCTCCAGGCTGAGCTCTGTCTTCCAGTGGTCTTAGGCAAGAAAGTCTCCATTATGCTGTCTCACCTTATGATCTCTTGTGGGAATGCTTTAGAAAAGATTATTATTTAGGGACAGGCTGGCCTAGGTTATGTCATAGGGGTCTTTCCCAGAGAGATACAAGCACATGATGACATTGTTCTCTCTCCCTAATTATCCTATGGGAGGAGAGGGAAGGAACAAGCAATTATTAAGCACCTACTATGTACCAGGTGTACTGCGCGAAGCGCTTCACAAATGTCTCATTTGATCTCACAATATCTCACTATCTTTATTTTTGTAGTTGAGGAAACTGAGGCAAACAGAGGCTAAATAATTTGCCCAGGGTCACATAGCTAGGAAGTGCTTGAAGCTGGATTTGAACTCGTGTGTTCCTAACTCCGGGCCCAGGGCTCTATCCACTGATGGGCCAAAAGGCAGCTTTCTTGGAGACTAGCTTCCAAAGCAGATTACACTGAAGTCAGCCTTTCCTAAATCAGCCTCTTATCAAAGCTGAGTTTGCCCCATAATCGAATCTGACATCAACCTTCCAGGGCTTTGGGCTCAAGATTGGGGAAGATGCGGGAGAAATGAGATAGAGGGACCTGCATAGGAGTGGTGGGCCTTGTCCTCCCAGTGGGGAGAGGAGGCGCATGTGAGCAGAGGAGAGGGATGGAAGCATATAAAGGGTACCATTTATTTGGCGCTTATCGCCTGTCTTGTGTATTAATCTCTCCAACTGGTTTAAGAACTTCTTTGTCTCCCCCTGGAACCTCAGTAAATAGCTCTTTAATGGGCCTTTTCCTCATGTCCTGGCCCTGGGGTTCACATGGTGATGAGCTGTTGACTTACAGGCAGACCCTAGCTAGAAACTCAGCCCGCTCTGGCTTCCTCAACCCTTAACCTTTCCAGGGTGAAGGTAGCTGAGGTCCCTTTTCCGACTCAGAATCAGAGGTCCGCCAGCAAGCCAGGTGTAGGCCTTTTCACATTGCTGCAGCCTTTCTCAGAAATTGTACAGGAATAAGTAGCAGGGTCAGCCAGAAGGTCAGACCTCAGGCTTCCCGGTACTTCCCTACTCTGACTTTCTTCTTTTCCTGGAATGCCTTTGTGGAAGCATTTGGGCAATGGCCTTATCTCGTCCTTCCTCTCTTCCTCCTCCTCGGCTTCCTCCTTCCTCCTCCGTCACACCCCAGGGAGTCCTTTTAACTCTTCATCTTCTGCTACCTTCCACGTTAGAGTCTTATGGTTGGGTAGCCAGGCAAGGAGCACTCCCCTGGTTTCCCTTTCTAAATTTTATAGTTTTTTTCAACCTCCTACTATACTAGTGTATTTGAAGGCACTGTTCTTTGTTCTCCATCTCTGCCAAACCGTGTGAAAACACGTCCTCTTAGTGGACGGCTGCCTTGTCTTTGTTCGATCGAGCCTCTGCTGCAGAGTGGGAGCCCAGAGGGGGCTGGCTTTCACAGGCATCTTCTTCGTTTGTTCAAGGCCACCAAAATTACCATATGGCAGCCTCGTCTCCATGGAGGATGATTCCCTGGTTGGAAAAATGACTTCTTTCCCATCCATCCCAGTGGATGTCACCGGACCCTACACTTTGGCTTGGTTACTTGTTCTGGGGGACCCGCCAAAGGGGCTGAGCCCTGGAACCTCAATGAGCCCCACTTCACCAGGGTGTTCACCTGCCAGTGTCCCAGGAAGACGTTATTCAGGAAGTCGAAGTGTCAGAGTTGGCTGTTCTCACTTTCTCCTTCTGTGGCCCCTTTGTACCACCCCAGATATGTGCTGCCAGATTGCCAGGGGCCACCCCTGTGGCCCCTTTGCCCCAGCCCCGTGGGGACCCATTCACTGCACAGTAAACATTTCCATTTAACCCCCTTCCCAGGCTTTGATCAGTGAGATTTATCGCCCTCGTACGCACAGCAGCCCGGCTTTCCTCAGTAATGAGATGCCAGCAAGGAAAGAGAGTTAGCCAGTACCTTTCTAGGCACAGGGGAGCTGCTTTAGTCCTGAGGCCCCTCTTCCCACTCGGGATCCTGAAGGTTTTGGGGGATAAACTGGCTCACAGCTCCTGGTTAAATACATAGCTGCATGGTAATAAAGAATTAAAAAGAAAGGAAAGAAAGCAACTCAGCCAGAACAATCTAGGTATTAGCCTCATCTGACAGTCTGCTGTGTCCCCTACCCAGAGAAGTGAAGGAGAGAGGGAGGAAGAGGAGGAGAGGGCAAGAACACAAGACCAAGTAAGGGCTGATGGTCTTGAAACAGCCACAAGCACCCTGGGGCCTGTGGATGTCCCGGTCACAGCCAGGGCAGGACATTCATCCTATTCTCAGCGGGGTTTGATAACTCTCATCTTCCTCCTCTTCCTCCTCCTCTCCCCTGCCAACCCAACTGTTACTGCTGTCCCCTCAGGCTCTGAGCTTCTAGGACGGTGCTTTCAACTTTACTTATCCCATAATAGATCTCTCCAGGCCACAAACAGCTGAATTTTCTGGTGTTAAAACTGCATTTATGAAAAGTCCCTGTGTCCTTTCTCCTGTCATGTGTCATGTCTTAGGCAGCTAGCTGCATACCTTGCCTCCTGAGGCTTGACTTTGGTGCTGGGAAACCAAGTGATGTATGAAATAGTATACAGTACACTGATGTGAAATCAGGAGACCTGGATCCAAGCTGTGGCTCCATCATTTTAAAGCTGTGTGACTTAACCTCTCTGAGCCTCAACCAGTTTACCCTTCTGTAAATTGGGGGTAAAACCTGCCCTACCAACCTCCTAAGAACCTGTTAAGATCAGATGAAGTAACACACACAAAGTACTCTTATATGTAACACTCTGGTTATTTACACAAATGATCTTTAAAGGTATGGCCGTTGGCTGCAGTAAATTTTATTGTCTGTCTTCCGTCCATCCCCTCTAACCAGGAACAGAAAAAGAAAAAGAAAAAGAAACACAAGAGCAAAAAGGTATCCTCATCCAGCAGCTCTGACTCGGACAGCAGCGAGGGTCAACCGGCCAGCAAGAAGTCGAGACGTGTGGCAAAGGACAGCAAGAAGAAGAAAAAAAAGCACAGGAAAAAGAGGCAGGAGTGAAGGGCGGGCTCACTCCCCTCCACCAGAGCCTCCTTCACCAGTGCCCTGGCTCTGGACTCTGGCAAAGGCATCCTCCCGCCCCTGCCCACAAGGCACTCCACACAGCCTGGTCTGTTGTTGTCATGCTGCCTCCAGGCATCCCCTGCCCGTGACCTTCCTGGGCCAGCAAGCCTTGTTAACCCCTGGAGCTAAAACTTTTTTTGTCTAGTGGTATGTCCAAGTTGCTTTGGCCCAGCCTTGAGGTTTGGGACTGGCTACAGACCCCTGGCTATATTTATGCTTTTAAACCCAAGTCAGGAGCAGAGATGGCCAGCCTTCAGCCCGAGCCGGTCAGTGAGCCTCTGCCTCCAGGCCAGAGCCAGAGGACCTCTTCTCTGGTACCAGGCGAGGCAGTCCCCTCATGTGCCCTTAGCAGCAGGACAGACAGCACTAGCTTGGCCAGATTCTGAGAAGAGACTGTTTGCAAGGATTCAGACCTTGTGGTCTCATCCCTTTAGGTCATTAAACAAGGGAAATGATGCTGTCACACACAGGGCTAGTGTTCAGCACTAACACTGATGGTGGAGCAGTTGGCTGAGGGCCGTGGTTTCTTCATTTCTTCTCCCTCCACTGCCAGCACTGGAACCTTTGTCTTGATGTTTTAACACTTGGTGGCCTGGGTGTTGTGGTCCCTCCCACCCCCCACACTTTTAGGGAGGCCGATGGATCATATGATCTCTGGACTTCTGAGCTGCAGGAGGGCCACACTGAGTCAGGGACCAGTGTGAGGAACCCCTGGGCTACCAGGCTGCCTGAGGAAGAGTGATCTCACCCAGGTTGGGGAGGAGCAGGCCACAGCTTCTGTGCTGCTTATCAGTAGTTGGATTGGGTCCAGGAGTGGCTGCTGCACTCCCAGCCTAGGCAAGATCATGAGACCTAATCTCCAAAAAACAATTTATGAAGGTGGAGATTTTCTAAAAAACTTACCATCTTCTGGAATTTCATAGCTTTAACCTGCATATCTGGGTAATTTACAGGGTCTGCCCTGCTAGATGCTGGTCCTTCCCTGTGTTTGTTGTGGAGGCTTCCCTTAGAGAGGGAGTCAGTTTTAGCAGGTCGCTGTCCCACAGCCAGCCTTCCTAGGATTCCCCAACCTTTTAGTATAACACATTTCCCTTTTAATTAGCAAACAACTTCCATTCTCTGGAAGTATGTGGCAGGATAGGGAAGATGACAGGAGGAGTGAGCCTTTAATGCTTCGGAATGGTTTAACAAAAACCAAAGTCGGAACTCCCTCAAAGTTCTGACTCCCTCATCCCCCTCCCCAACCTGGATAAGCATTGCCCAGTGGAAGTGGCTGAGCTTGGAGCCTTCTGTTAACACATCACTATGAAGTCTGGGCAGGGAGCACCCACCAGTGAAATAAAAGGCTAAGGGGCTCAGGAAAGCCAGGCCCTGTCATGAGCATCCTGCACTGAGAATTAGAGATCTGACAGAAAAGGTTGTAGCTAAGCCTGGGAAACTGCTAGTTTTTCTATCCTGCCATAAGCCAGTATATCAGAGAAGCCTTAAGGGGAATGATGCTTGTCTGGACCAATGGCCAGCAGACTACAGCTTAATGTAAGGAAAGCTTCCTGGCTATGCCAGAGTACCAGGACGGCAGTGGGCTGCTTGGGTGGCTCCTGTCTCTAGACCCCCTCCCATCTTGGGGATGCAGAGGAAACTTGCTGCAGTGTGGAGGCCCCTCCCCACTGTGATTTGGTGAGATTAGAGACCCCAAGGAATTGAGGTGTAGAAGGGGTAAGCAGTGAGGGAAAGGGAAGGCTTGGGGATGTGTACCAAGAAGACTGCTTTATTCCTTGGGTCTATCCGTTAGACAGTGGTCCTGCTCCAGCTGCATCGGGCTTGGAATCACTGCCATTTGGGCTTGGCTCCTGACCAACTTGGCCAAGGCCTGACTCAGGCCCCAGCAGCCTCTTTGGCCACTCCAGGCCACACTTATGGGAAACCCCCCCAACAAAGGCAGTAATGCAGCAGCTGCATCTGAGTGACTGACTGTGGGATCTGCTTTATTGGCTTGGGACCAGCCATCAGATGCAGTTTAAAAAAAAAAAATACAGAATGGGCTTCAACCAGGACCAGGACAGCACCATATGTTTTCCATTTCTGGAGGGTTCCTTGACCAGAGTCAATTGGTACAAAACACTGGGGTGGGGAGGGGGACGGGGTACAGAAATGAGGCAATCTGGTGTTGAGTTCAGTGGTAGCCGTCGGCAGAGGAATTGACAGTGAGCAGGTGGGCTGACTTCAAGCTGTTTCCTTCTCATAGGTCCTAACGCAGACTGCGCTGCCATGAGTTAGTGTCTGGAAGCAAAGACAGCATTGTTAAGAATGTTGGGGGAAGGGGATGGAATGCTGGACTTCCTCTCCAGTTCAAGGAAGGGAGCATCTGTCCTTTTGGGGAGGGGCTGAGCAATGGAGGGACTGACCCCATTCTATCCAGCTGTTCTCTCTGTGCTTTCTCCTCCCCCCTCCTCCCTATCCCCTTCTGTAAGGGAGTGGAGCCAAGACCAGCGCCCCAGCTTTGAAAATCCCCAGTCCCTTGTAAAATATGGAAGATCTCTTGCCCCCTTCTTAGAGTAGAGGCAGCATTCCTCACCTCCATGGTAGGAATGCAATCATCCAGGCACACTGAGCAAAGAAGGGACTGTTCCTGGGCAAACCTTGGAGCACCTGAAGATTGTCTACCCCAGCGAACAGCTCCTTCACCCATCTGTGCCCTAGGGCACAACCAGTGTGACGTAGGGGAGCCCATGGTGGGAAAGTCCTAAGTTACCTACAGGTACCCAACCTGCAACACTGAGCTGGAGCTAGGAAGGGACAGTCCCGCCAAGCCACCAGGATCAGAGAACTCTGCCCCAGTCTGGGGAGATGTGGATGAGATTGAGCAGGCCACAATTACTGTGATCAATGGGTGTTCCCAACAGGGATGGGTCGGTGGGACTCAGGCATTGGCCTGCCTTCCTTCCTGGCACAAGGAGGAGGGGATATTTGCCTTGTTTTTTAGGTGTTTATGGAATCTGAGAATCCCATCTGGTTCCTTTGTAACCAAACTGAATGTCCACTCCAGCAGAGTGAACCCCAGGTCTGGGCTCTAACCAGGCCCTGTTTCATGGACTCAGTAAATGGAAGAAACCTTGGCACTCATTGAATCTCACCCCTCCCTGAAGCATGGCTCCCTCTATAACATTCCTGTCTAAATGACCACAGCTTCTGGAATAGCCCATTCCATTTTGGGATAGCTCTGTTGTCAAGAAATTCCATCCTTTATTGATTCAATTGAATGGTGTAACCAGGAAGAGCTGGGCTCAAGTCTCTCCTTTGCCCGTGGCAGAGATCTTGAGCAAGTCATGAATTTTCCCAGAGCTCTGGGCAGCTCTAAGACAAAGATGCCACCCTTCCTACCTGCATTGGGAGAGCTTGGCTTGTCTGAGTTCCCTGTGTCAGGGACATCACGGATTAAAAATCCCCACACCTGTGGAACAGAAATCTGCCTCTGGCTTTCAACGACTTGTCTTTTTTTTGTTCATTTGTTATTTGTTTTCAATGACTTGTCTTGATCCTATACTCTGGGTTGGACCTTCTGGGGCCAAGCAGAGTAAAGTCCATCCTTTGGCGTGGGAGCCCTTTCCCTATTTCAAGACTGAAATGTCTCCTCTGGGTTTTCTTCAGGCTAACTTTCCTAATTTCTCTGATCATTCCTTATGAAAAGGTTTTAAGTCTCCCACCTTCCTGGTTGCCCTTTTCTGGGCCTGTTTCCTCATTTGTAAAACTGGTAAAAAACCTGTTGTACCCCCAGTTAAAATCATGAACTAAATGTAGGCAGAGCACACTGTAAACAAACATCTGTGTAAATGTCAAGCATTGTTTTCTGAAGGGGGTAGGTACCCGTAATTGAATGCAGGGGATCACGAACTTAGATCTCTATGGGACTTCAGAGGCCATCTAGACTGTTGAGTCCAAATTTGCTCATTTTACAGGTGGTGAAACTGAGGCCAAGAAGCAAGGTTAAATGTCTTGCCCAAGGTCACAAATAGTTGAGTCGGGGGAGCAAGTTTGAACCTGGGCCTTCTGTCTCCAGTACTCTTTCCCTCCCATTAGATGTCTGACACAGAGAGAGGTACTAGAGGACTACACCACCCCTTTTCCTAGGCATTGTATCTCAGTGAAGCCTAAACCTCATTCAAACTGCAGATTCAGAGGCAGCTATGATGATGGAGAAAGAGCTCCCTAGAGAACTGGCCTGCAAAAGAGTTGCCTCTATTGCTAGGGAAGGTGGTCCCCTTTCCCCTTGTGGCTTACCAGGATGAGCTTTCCACCCTGGAGCTCTCGAGTGAGTGTGGTCTCCTGCCCATCCCACTTCTGGACATGGACAAGTTTGCCTCCATCCAGTGTGACAATAGACTGTGAAGAGAAGACAGAAAACAGTCACAGGATGAGATTTAGGGCTGGCAGAGATATCAGCAATAGTCTAGCCCCACTGGTGTTTGTACAGCCTCAGAGGAAATGGTTGCACAGATGACAGATCCGGGACTCAAACCCAGGTCCCCTTGGGAGGCAGCCAGCTGGAGAGGGGGAGAAGCATTTATAAGCACCTACTATGTGCTAAGTACAAATACCTCATTTAAGCTTCACAGCAACCCTGAGAGGTAGATGCTATCATGATCCTCATTTTACAGTTGAGGAAACTGAGGCAGGCAGTTAAGTGACTTGCTTCCACCTAGATGGTGAAGTGGGCTTGGAGTTGATGTCCCCCACCATTGCTCTCCAAGACCTGGATTGGCTTGGGTCTGTTGTATTTGGGCTCACAGCACTGGATGAAGGGCTGAACAGGCTCAAGGAGAGCAAAGCCAGAGCCACCCCCAACAATTGTTGAGTTCTGTACACTCTAGGGCTTTCCAAGGATGTTGCCCACAAGGGTGGGGAGAGTCCAGTTCCAAACCTATTCCTGGGTATGGATGTATACACTGGAACTGCAATCCTGTTAGGAGGGGAAATGTTAGACTAGGAGTTTGGAGACCTGAGTCCAAGTTCAGGCTCTTGAGTGACCTGGAGCATATCATTTGGTCTCTGTGAACCTCAGTTTCCTAATCTGTAAAATGGGGGTAATATGTGCTTTCCAGGGTGTTGTGGGGAAAGTGCTCAGTAAGCCACAAAGCTCTATAGAAACAGCTTATTCACTCCCTAATACTGCCACATACATCCTGGGACCTTGGACAAGGCCCCTTCCCAATCTGGCCATTAGCTTTCCTTTCTGTACAAAAGGGAAGACCAGTTTCTGATCCTTCCTTTTGCAGAAGCAGCTAAGAGGAAGAGAGGAAGGGTTCAGGTCAGGAAGCGATGAAAGACAGATAACCATCACTGGATAGTTCCCAGAAGTAGGAGGCCCAACCATCCCCCCCCCCCCCCAAGACTCCAAAGTGCTTGAGTGAGCCACTACTTTACAGCCAGCAGCAGCAGGTTGGCAAAGACCTGGAGGGGGAAGAGGGGAGTAGAGGGTTGACATGCCTCTTGAAGGTCAACCAGAGAGACATGAAGGGCACCCCATCTGGGACTTTGCAGTTCCTGCCCATCAGCTAACATGGTTGGAAATAGTTTCTCAAGGTCAATGGCCAGGCTTGGAGTAGAGAAGGTGGAGAGCAGCTGAGCTTGGCTGGACCACAGAAAAGTATCCACCTTAGAAGTCTGGACTGGGTTCCTGGCTAACTAAGGGTCTTGAGTTCTCTTCAGCAGCATTCCAAACTCCCCCTCCCAACTCTTGACTCAAAGAGGTTTAATGAATTGACTAAAATCACCTAAACTGCCTTCTATAGCAAGTACCAGGGGGATCGAAGCAAACTGAAAAGGATCCTGGCTTCTTCCTAACCATGGGACCCACAGCTTTTTCCTGGTCCTCTATGGAAATCATTTCCAGGGCTGAGCCTCCTCACTTTTCTGTAGCATGTTATGGTCACAATTCCTTTCTATACATTATTCACGTAATCCCTGTAACCCTGTAAGGTAGGCAGGACAGGTATTTTATTTATACCCATTTTACAGATGAGGGAACAAACTTAGAAGGAGCAAGTGATTTACTCAAGGTCACACAGCTGGTAAGTGGACTGGACCAGGGTTAAAGCCAGGTCTCCTGCTCTGATTCAAGTCTGAAACTTTTCCTCTACAACACTTTATCACCTACTTTTCTCTTTGGAACCAAGGATTGATCCCTTCTTGGGAAGGGGGACTGCTTGAGGCCAGAGAGCAAGCATTTGAGAGCCAGGCTGGAGAGAGATGCCTGGCCATGTCCTGGCTGCCTGGCTTACCTTGACCTTCCTGTCATCAGCTGTTGTCTCATCAAACTCTACTCCCAGCTTGAAGGAGATCTCGGTGCTCTTGAAAGTGCTGTGAGTCTTGATGGTGATGGTGTCCCCACTGACCTCAATGATGGTGGTGGGCTTGGTCATGCTGGCCACCTGCCTTGTGGCAAAGCCAACACCTACAAGAGTGGGAAGAGAGGGGGGGATTGGTGAGGGAAGGAAAGGGCTCCAGCCTCACCGAAGGACACTCAAGGCATGGGTCAGAAAGAGCCTGTAGCTTTTCAAGCCCAGGGGAAGAGTAAGGGGTCTAAAGAATGAGGGACTAAATAGTATTGCAACCTTCCCTCCCCTAGCCTTGGGTTATGCAGCAAGTTGGCAGCAGAGACTAGTCTCAGTGACTCTGGACTTAAAATATTTGGACCCAAGACCAACGTTAATCATGGAGGCAAGAGTGCAAAACTCCTTGGATAGAGGTGGTCAACCTTCTCTGAGTCTTCACCAAAAACCAAATTGAGAAATGGGGGGGGGGGGTAAGCACTCGGAACACTAAGCCCGCACTAATAACAGGAATAATCATCAGAACAAGAGTTGGCTTTGGAGTCAGAAGACTTGGGTTCGAATCCTGGCCCTGTGACTACAGACTACTTGTATTACCACCCTGGTTCTAAATTCCTCAGCCACAAATGGAGGGAATTGGATATCCTCTGAAGCCTCTTGACCCTTTAATCTCTTTATTTCTTTATAACTCTGTGAAGGCACTTTAATATCCTTTTTTTTTTTTTTTGGTGAGGCAATCAGGGTTAAGTGACTTACCCAGGGTCACACAGCTAGTAAGTGTCAAGTGTCTGAGGCTGCATTTAAACTCAGGTCCCTTCTTTTTTTTCTTTTTAATCCCTACAATATCAGTTAAGATCAGAAGGGTGAGAGTTATCCCCATTTCAAAGATGTCCAGAGGTCCAGGAATGGTAAGCAGCTTACCTAAGAGTACACACTGCAATTAGTGTCAAAGCTAGGACAGAAAGCTATAGGTGTTCTTTCCCATACTGAAGCACCCACTCTTTCGAGCTGGGGGTGCTGTGCACAGCTTCCCTAATGTTCTGTATCTGCAACTCCCCCAACCAGAAAACAACCTGGTTCCCTGAGCAGTTGCCCTCCTGCTACTACTTACTTCTGAAGATCCTCCCTGCTCCCGAATCTCCCCTCCCAGGAGCGCCTCAGAGGTGCAGTCTGGAGAAGGAACCCATTCCAATTACCATGTGATGGGTGCCACCTCACCACCCCTACAGTGTTTCCTGCCATTACGTGTGGACCACAGGGGACCAGATGGGAGTGGGATCTCCACTTATGAATCTGGGTGGGGGCCCCCAGCCAGATCTGGGACAGTAGGACTAGGGTCATTCTGGTTTCCAATGAGTCGGAATAGTGGCATAGGATTTAAAATTTTTCAAAACAGGGTCTTCATAATAAGATCTGACATTTACATAACATGTTTTATATTCATCATCTGCCTCACACAACAACCCTGGGAGGTAGGTACTAGAAGCATCATCTTCATTTTACAGATGAGGAAACTGAGGGAGAAATTAAATAACTGCCCCAAGTCACACAGCCAGCCAGCATTATCGGTGACATTTGAACCCAGGTCTTCCTGACTCCAAATCTAGCATTAGCCATTCGACCACACTGCCTCAATTGGTCTTGTAACAGACAGCTTTGTGAGACAGGTGGAGCGGGCATTATAACCCCTCCATGTGATCAATGATGTGGTCAGTGCCTCACTCAAGCTCACCCAGTTCAGCACCACAGCTAAGAAGGGGTCCCTAGGCCCAGAGGACTTCAGAGTAACATTTCCCAAACTGCTGACCACATGGGGGAAAAGCTTCCTGATCCACAAACTTTTATACACCTCATGGGGCTGCTATGAGAAAAATGATTTGTAAATCCTAAAGCACTAATAGATCAAGGTGAGTTGTATTACTCCACGGATAGGAGTCCCTACCTCTTGGGTCTGTCCTACCATCCCCCAATGTGCCAGGGTTTCGTTGGGCACAATGGGCTTCTAATAGAAAGTTTATAGTGATTTATTTCCTCTACAATATGGTTCGACTTGGAAAACTGAACTCAGGATCCGGAAGGAACATGAGAAAGCAGCTTGGCCAAACCCCACCTCATTTTATTATTACTATTAACAATAATAATATTATATAATAATATAATATATATTATATTATATAATAATATAATAATGACTGCTAGCATTTATGTAGGTAGCATGCACTATGCCAGGCAATGTGCTAAGCATTTTACTAATATCTCATTTCATTCTCAGAGCAACTCTGTGATTATTATCACTATTTTACAGGTGTGGAAACTGAGGCAGCCAGGTTAAGTGACTTGTTCAGGGTCACACAGCTAATGATTGTCTGAGGCCAGATTGAATTTCAAGGTCTTCCTGACTTCAGGTTTATCCAGAAAAGGGGAGTGGGGCACTAAGGTCTAGTAGGAAAAGTCACACCCCCAATGAAACCATGGCAGATCTTTGCAATAGAACCCTGGTGTCCTAAATCTTAGTTCAATGTTCTTTTCCCTAGCCTGCACTGATAAGCTACAAAGCAGGTGGAGGGTGAAGGCCCCTGAATGTGGGCCCACTCCTTATCCTACACTGATAAGCTACAAAGCAGGTGAAGGGTGAAGGCCTCTCTGAATGTGGGCCTAAGCCTTGGAAGGATTTAGTGTGACTAACGCTGAAGTCAGAGTGGGGAGAAGGGAAGGTTTAGTCCTATGCACTTGGGCTAAGGATCTCAGAGCCACTGGGTAGGCCAAGGAGAGGAAGCTCCACTGTAATCCTGAGGCAAGAACCCTAGAGACCTAGTGAGCCTTCTGAAATAAGCATGTTCCTTAAATAAATACATTCTAAAAAAATAAATTAAAAAAAATAATAAGCATGTGTCTGCCGGAGAGTGCTGGACTAAAGGATTCAAGGCCCCAAACTGCCTTGCTCCAAACCTTAATTCAATTCTTCCATTCCCTGGGGCAGCTAGGTGGTGCAGTAGATAGAGCACCAGCACTAGAATCAGGACCCGAGTTCAAATCCAGCCTCAGACACTTACTAGCTATGTGACCCTGGGTAGGTCACTTAACTCCGATTGCCTCTACAACAAAAACGAAAAAATTCCCCCACTCTAAGATAGATATTTACATATTTACATAATTTACATATTTATATAGATATTTACAAGCTAAGATAGCTTGTAAATAGAGGGCTGGCCTTAGAATCAGGAAGATGTGGGTCCATGTCCTGCCTGTAGCACACACTAGCTGTCTGATGATGAGGAAGTTTCCATGAAGGAATTTCCCAATACTGATGAAATCCCAGACCTGAACCTCCCCCCCATCCCACCCCAGCCCCCACACACACATACAAAAAGGCACCCTTGAGACTCTATTGCTCCCTGTGAAAAGGAAGATCTGAGTTGTAAGATACTTTTTTTAAGCTGCAATCCAACTTCTGGGAAATTCCCAGAGAATTGACACTTCCCTGTTCTATTCCTTCTGGTCCACTTCCCAGCCCCATGGAACAACTGGGTCTGACACCCCTGAGCCTGGTTGTGGGCTGGCTCATGACAGCAATTCCTTTTGGCAGTGCGGGACCGAGCCGATCTTCCTAGTACAGCTTAGTTGAGGCCCTGTGCACAGTGAGGTGTCTGAGCGGCCACAGACTGGGATTGGACTGGGCAAAATACAGTGACCAGGAGGAAGAGCCCGAAAGCCCTCACTCCCTGGAGCCTAAGTAATTGATTTGGACGGTGAGGCTCAGAGGGCCTCCTTCTTCATCTGTACCAAGGCAGAGAGGGGCTGGGTAGAAGCCTGGCCCTCCAGCACAGGGAGCTGTCCAAAGGTGGGGTCTGAGGAGTCCCAACAATGCCCCCCTTCCCACCAACCGGGAAAGCCAGGCAAAAAACAAGAGAAATGTAGGGAATTCTGCTCTAACTATACTCTCTGGAGGGCTAATAAGAGATGGTACACCCGTACATTTGAACTGAAGTAACTGGATTTTTTGCCCCTTACTTCTGTCTCCCTTCAGCCCCACTATCCCCTGTACCAAAGAATGGTTCTCCGGTGCTAGAAAGGGCCTGATGCGTCCTTAGGTCAGGGAGAAAAGCTGGATGAGGGAATCTCTGGGTTACTGGGCCAGGTCCCCCCAGCAGAGAAGAAAAGGACCGACAAGCATGGGTCAGTGGCTAAGACTATATAGCCTAAGACAACAGAGATAGAGTAAGGTAAGGGCTCTTGCCACAGTAAGGAGCCCCACCCTTAATCCCCATCCCTGAGCTCGCAGCTCAGGAGGGGTTAAGGGCAGAGTCAGAAGATGCTAGAATTGGTCACTCCCCTTCCAGAAAATTCTAGCCTGCAGACTTAGGCTCTGAATAGTCCAGGGCCCTAACTAAGGTCATTCTAGGCTTTGACCTCTGATGTTCCTAGACCTCCCTATAGAGCCTCCCTACAGCTGAGAACTAGGGAAATTAGCCTTAAATATAGTTGGAATAATATGGAATTCCCTGCCTTCCATAGCCTGAGGAAAACACCAGGAGGAATTCAGGGGTGGATTAGGAGACAGCTGAGAAGTACTGAAACAAATACACAGCCCATGAATCCTTCCTTCTTCCCAGCTCCCCACTTCCCCATCTCTCCTCTCCCCAGTGGGCAACCAGTCTTGACCTTGCTTATTATCCCAGACACTGTCCCTACAGACAAGGATAGCTGGGAACCCCTTCCCCACCCCTCACCCTCCACTGGGAGAGGTTTCAGGCAGTGACCCAGACATATATAGCTGGCAAGTCTGTATGCCTGTGCCTCTCTTAGGCAGGCACTCAATGCCAATGATTAACCCAGGCACATGCAGTCCACCGGACAAGGTCAGGACTGGAAGCAGTGCTCAAGGAGAACCCTTCTGGGTAATCTATGAGGGTGTCTGGGTTTGGAGACAAGCCTGGGACTCTTAAGGACGTGCTTTCCCTAATCCAGCCTGTAGAGCAAGGCATGGATGGGTAAAAATGACAGCACAGTTGGACAGATCTATACGCTCAGGCACGTCTGTCATACACACACACACACGCACACACACACACACACACATACACACACACACGCCAGCCATTGGCCACATTCCCTCTGCATCCCCACCCTAGAATACACCCCACCTTCTCTTCCTTCTCCGCTAGATATCCTCCTCCCACCCAGACCCTAAGCATATCCCCTATATACCTTTGGGCACTCACATCCTTCTCCCTAAGTATGTCTCTCACCCAATATACCAAGACACATCTCTGCCCCAGGGCTCAATAGGGGAGAGCTGGGGTCCCGTCAATCCAGACACCCATGTTGCAGAGACCCGTTATCTCCCTTCTCCCTGCAGCCCTAGATTCCTTCACCCCATTCCTTGGTGAATCCTCCTCGGAGGATACTCCAAGGAATCCCGGCCGCGCAGGGGACCTGGGAACCTCTGCTGCGGGGACTGCTTCTTCAGCCTTCCCCAGCCCCTCCTTTCTCGGCCGGATCCCACATCCCAGACAGCCCCAGAGGATGGAGCCGGGGGCCTCCTCTCAGCAGGGCAGCCCCGCAGCCGCCCCCTCCCTGCTTACCAATGGATTTCATGTAGTCATCGAAGTTCTTGCTGTCAACCAGCTTCCAGGTGCCAACGAAAGCATCTGCCATGGTGTTAGGCTAGAGGAGGCGAGGCTGGGCTGGACTGGGCTGGGGATGCGCTGCGAGACGCTGGGTCCGGATCCGCCAGGCTGCGCTGCGCCGAGATGCACGGAGTTGAGAGGCGCTGGGCTGGGCTAAGCCGCAGGCAGACGGGCGGGGGAGAAGAGAGGGGATGCAGAAAGGTTCCCGGCTCTGAGTCGCCTGCCAGTGCTGTCTCTTTAAATAGCCCTCCTAATCACATGATGGAAAGAAAGCCCGGGAGACAAGCTCCCGAAATAGGAAGACCCTGGCAAGCGGGCGGGGACTGCGGGCAGCTAGCTGGAGAGAGAGGGCCGGGCTGGGGAGAAAGTGGCCAGACTGGGGGAGGGTAAGGGAGAGGGCTCCTCTGGTTCGCCACCCCTCCCCCTTCCCCCTCAGACTCCCAGGCTAACGCCTCAGGCTGTAGAAAAGGGAGCGGGGGTGTCTGTTTCGCCTGCCACCCCCCCAGCACACCTGCGTCAGGCCCCCTCAATCAGCACCTTGTGCCTGGGCCCCGCCCCCTGCCCCAGGGCAGGCCGAACAGGCTCTCCTTCCCTACCTGGCCCTCTCCAGGGTTACTTTCTCTCCTCCGCCCTCTCTCCTGGCTCGGGGCAGCATGAGGAAATGGGCTGGGCCCACCTCGTCACTGGGGAATGAGGTGGGGGGTGAAGAACTCATGGAGACACAGAGCTCCCGAACCTCACAGCGAGAGATCTCGGGCTGCAGTGATGGGGATGGAGACCCACGTTCCTTCCCCACTTTGCCTCCCCTCTGTAAAGAAATGCCTTGGCCTGTACCTTTCCCATTTCTAAACCCTTAAGTCTTAAGGAGAAGGGTAACTTGGGGGTGGTGAACACCCTGTAGACCCAATCCCTTCGCAGTTGGCTCCAAGCTCACCTTTCTTTCTTCAGACCTCACCCTTCTGTCTTATTCCATTGTACTTACCCCCCTGAACCCCCCATTCCATCATCAACAAACTGCGAAGATGAGGGCGCTTCCTCCTCACAACTCATTCTCCTCAGGCCCTCTAGGCTGCCTTCCTTTGTCACCCCTCCATTGAAACTGCTCTGTCCAGGGTTCCCAGTGGCTTTCTAATAGCCAAATCCAACAGTCTCTCCTCAATAGTCTTTCTTCTCCTGGACGTTTTCTGCCATATTCATCATTGTTGGCCATGCCCTCTTTAGTGATGTTCTATCCTCTTTTGGCTTCCTTATCTTTGAATCTATAAGAACACACTATATGCTGGATAAATGTTAGCTGGAACCTCTCTGGAGCTCAGTTTCTTCATCTGTAAAATGGGGGGGGTAGATGAACTCAAAAGTCCTTTCCAGCTCTAAAGCTCTGATTTTTCCAATAGAAAGCTGAGCTGGGTATTTCAAGGGGCAAAAAGGATCGCTGAACTCTTCATGGTACCTATGTATCTCCTGACTCAAGTTTTGACCTTACCAAGGTGGAAAATTTGTCCAAGGAATTGGTTCTAATTCTAGCTCTACCATGCTGAGTTACTTTCTACCTCCTGGAGCATGTTTCCATATCTGTTAAATCGACAGAATCTTTCTGCTTCTTCCCTCCTAGGAGGGAAGGTCTGGGCTAGGGAATCAAGCTCGTGCCTGCTGGCAGACCACACCTCATCCGTCGTACCTCGTATCCCCAACCCTCTACTCTCTATTTCCTCTATCCCTTCTTCATCTTCCCCCCAGTTTCATCCTTTCCCGTCTCTTATTTCTGTGTCCTCCCTCTTCCCTTCCCTATTATCACTCGTCTCCATGTCCTCTTCACTACCACCCCCAGGCTCATGCCCATTCCCCATGCTCCCAATCTCCATCATTCTGCTCTTTCCCTCCCTCTTCTCTTCATCTTCTTGGTTTTTCATAGCAAGTGGATATTTTCAGAGGGTGGAAGTCAAAGCATCCTGAGCTTGAGCTCTGCTTACTCCACTCAATCATTGCCAGATGTCAGACGCTGCCCAGACTCACGTCTCCCTGAGCCCTTCCCACAGGGTGACATCATTCTCTATGTTTCCATGGTAACCGGGTGGGGGAGTGGCCTTAGCTAAAGGAGAGAACCAGAGACCAGACTCAGCCAGGGGTGATCCATAAGATCATGCGGAGGAGCCTAATTTCCCTAGGAGGGAGGGGGAGTTGAAATGATAAGAAACTCGATATTTCCCTCACCCAAGACTCAGTCCACTCATCCCCACCCAGTCACATGACTGGGTTCCACTGAATCCCGCTAGGTTGACTATCCACTGGTGGGGGGAGGGAATACTTCACTGGAGAAAGGGAGAAGTAATGGTCAGTCCTTAGACATTCAACCACATGTCTCCATTCAGCTGGAAAGGAACTCTTCTGGGTATATCCTACCCTCTAGACCAGAAAGTCTGGGCTTCCGTGCCCCTCCCTGACCCTGGCCTGCTGGGTTCTCCCCCACTCTGCCTATATTTCTGGCTGGCTACATATATTGTCAGTATTAAAAGTACCATCATCTAATAACAATAGCTAGCATTTACAGAGCACTTAAGTCATCCCATAGTAGGGGCTTACTCAATACTTGATCGCTGATTGGAAGGGTTAGGATCATAGAATTATAGCTGGACAGGACCTTAGATGTCATCTCGTCCAACCCTATCATTTTACTGATGAGGAAACAGAGGACCAAAGAGGTTGTGACCTGACCAAAGTCACAGAGGTGATAAGTGACTGAGCCGGGATTCAAATTCAGCCTCTTCCTTTTATTATAGGGGGAAACAAACCCAGAAACCAGAAAGTCTACAGGTAAAGGAAAGAAAGTTGTATTTCTCCACCTAAGTAAATGAATGACGACGCCAGAACTACAATGAGCAATGCTGAGAGAAAAGCATTTATTTAAGCACTTTCTTTGTGCAAAGTACCTTTCTTAGCACTGGGGACACAAAGAGAAGTTGGGTCTTGCCCTCAAGCAGCTCCCATTCTAATAGATGGGGATAATCCTCTAATTTGTTGTTTATTGGTTTCCGTGTCTGACTCTCCGTGACCCCAGTTGGGGTTTTCTTGGCAAAGATACTGGAGTGGCTTGTCATTTCCTTCTCCAGCTCATTTTACAGATGAGGAAACCGACGCAAAGAGGGTGAAGTGACTTGTCACACAGCTAATAAGTGTCTGAGGCCAGATTTGATCCCATGAACTCTATCCACTGAGCCACCTAGCTGCTCCACACCTAATAGAAGGAAATAATCAGAGGTTTCATCAGCAAGTCAGATGGAAGGTGGTTCACAGACAGATAAAGGGAGAGGGAGAAAGAAAGGCAAAGTCTTTATTAAGCATTTACCATATGTGGCATCGTGCTAAGTGCTGGAAATCAAAATACAAGCCAGACGGTTTTCGCCCTCAAGAAACTTACTTTCTAATGTGAAAAGACAACACCTGCAGGGCAGCTAGAAAGGGAAAAGGAGAATGGGAGATAGAGCTCATGCTTAGAAGATTGTTTTAGGAGATCTGGGCCACTCACTGCATGATAAAGCAAAAGTTCACCTGCATTTGCAATCAGCAGTGGTAATCTCTCTTCTTTAGAGTCATTTTCCTAGATAAAAACAGACATTTTTCAACTCTGAAAGACTAAAAAACTCTGATCCACATAAATAATGACCAACCACAAATCCAAAAGATTCATGATGAAGCATATGACCCACCTCCACATAGAGAACTAACAAATTCAGAGTGTAAATTAAGCAATCTGTTCTTTTTGGATGTGGCTGATGTGGAAGTTTATTTTGCTTAACTATACATGTTTGTAACAAGTTTTATTTTCTTGCCTTCTCAGTGGGTGGGGGAGGAGGGAGAAAATCCTGAAGTGAAAATGAAATAGAAAAAAAAGTTTTTAAACATTATGTTTCTGATGTTAAATGACTTGATGGGACCAAGGGCTTTGGTGAGAACTTTTTTTTCTAGGTCTGTTGAGGCCATTGTTATGCCATGCTACCTGGAGCCTCCAACCTGGCTTTCCCATTCTTGACCTGGGCCCCTGAGCTTCTTTCTGACTGAGGAGAATTCTCCAAGGAGGGGGACCCAGACCTTCCACAAAGTCCTCTGAATCTTTGTGCAGTGTTGCCAAATGCATTTCTTCAACACCACCCCCTTCTTTCCATCTCTAGCTTTGGAAGCAATAATCATATCATCATTACCATTCCTGGAAAGAACCTGCCAACCAAATGCCCTTTGGCTCCATTTACTATCTCTGTGACTTCTTAGTCTGAAAAGCCCATCCCTGGCTACCATCCCCCTCCGTGGGTTATCTCTCCAGATTCCCTGAATTCAGCTACTATCTCTCTTTTGTATTTGCATCCTTAGTGCCTGGCACAAAGCAAAAACTTACCAATGCTTTTTAATTCATTTGTTTGTTCATTCATTATCCAGTAGCTATGACTGTCAAGGAGGCAGGGGCTGCAATGTCTGTGGAGGCAATTGCCAGGATATATCTCCATTAGGGTGGTTCCCCTGCACAAAACAAGAGT